GGTGTGAAACACGTCTCCTATTATATTAGTATGTTGTTAGAAATGGATAGTGTAAAATACGTCTCCTATTATATTAGTATGTTGTTAGAGATGGATGGTGTGAAACACGTCTCCTATGATATTAGTATGTTAGAGATGGATGGTGTGAAACACGTCTCCTATTATATTAGTATGTTTTATGAGATGGATGGTGTGAAACACGTCTCCTATTATATTAGTATGTTGTTAGAGATGGATGGTGTGAAACACGTCTCCTATGATATTAGTAGGTTGTTAGAGATGGATGGTGTGAAACACGTCTCCTATTATATTTGTATGTTGTTAGAGATGGATGGTGTGAAACACGTCTCCTATGATATCAGTATGTTGTTAGAGATGGATGGTGTGAAACACGTCTCCTATTATATTAGTAGGTTGTTAGAGATGGATGGTGTGAAATACGTTTTACTAATAACCTCTATGAAAATCCTTTAATTAAAAGACCGCTATATCATTGTTAGTGCTCTAGCATTCATCAGTTCATTAGAAATTACACATATTTCAATTATGTCCACGAGCTTAGCCAACTCCATAAATATAATGAAGAATTAAAATAGATATACAGAAGCAACTTACGTGATGCTGACTACTCCTCTGTAGCATGATAAGAAACAGAAGAAATAGAGAATGTTATTAGACAGAAGATGATTTAAAGTTTAATAGTGTTAAATAATAGTTTGATAATAACAACAATTAACTACTTACGAAACATTGGCAACACCACTGCCCAGGTCAAATCTCAGCTGAACAAATCCGTCCACTATATTTAAAGAGAGAAAATCTCCTCCCGACGAGCTTTCTTGACCGTTATATAATAGCATGCCATTATGAGATTTGGTTAAAAACCAAACCTCTATGTTAAAGGCTAGACCGACATTGGGTAAGGTTGATAACTCTAGGTAAGCCTGTCCGTTAAATTCGGGAACCGTCACAGAACTAAGATGTTTATGAACTAGAAAGAAACAAAACGTAAATGCTAAGAAAAGATAATAAGGACAAATCTGGTTATAAATTTTCAATGCGTTTAAACATAGAAGAAAAGTCGTAATAGACGTAATGTTCTCAATTAAGTTGTCAGTATGTAACTGTAGATGTGAACTTTACATGTGTAGTTTAATAATGATACACCAATTAAATAATCAGCATACTAATATAAAGGAGGATTACTGCCCTTAAAAGTCGTAGTGTTTGATAATAGTGTCTAAAGGTAGTGTTTGATAATAGTGTCTAAAGTTATGAGTTTCAGGTGAGTGTCTAAAGATGGTGCTTCAGGTTAGTATTTAGGGAGTGTTTAAAAGTAACGTTTTAATGAAATGTTTGAGTTTAGTGCCTAACAGTAGTTTTTAAATGTGATGTTTGAACGGTGGTGAATAATGGTCATATTTAAATCTTTCCATGACCTTCTAACAATAAAGTTCATTTCCTCCTCCTACTACTACAGACAAACAGACATCAGTTAGATGTATGTGGTATAAGAAAACAACTTATGGCTTACCAAACCTTAACTCTGAGAATAGCTTATGGCTTACCAAACCCAATCATTGAAACCATTATATTCATTATCAAACAATAAAAACAGGGTTTCCAACCTTTTCACTTTCTCTCGACATTAATTTGTATCATTCAATAGAAAACGAAGACCCGGAGCAAATGATTTCATTATATTTTTGATTCATGCATCTTTCTTTCAGGTCAACCTATCCGGTCAGTTTAGGGGACTGGCATTCTGTCAAGGTGACCCGACATCGACGTCAAGGGACTGTCCAGGTGGATGGAGGACCTGAGGTTCACGGAGAGTCACGGGTAAGAAGATTTATATATGTCCTGATGTTGTCTGTATTTCTGACTTTATGATGAGAGAGCTAGCTTTTATCCAAAAATATCCATTGAATTCATTGTCTTTCTTTCCATAACAAAGCTTCGAAATAAAGTATTTAAACTTAAACTGAGATCTGCCATGACATGGATATTTATACGTTCCTATTAATCATTAAATGTGAGTTTTTTAACATGTAAAACTGTTTTTATGGTGTACAAGCTTCACCCAACTTGTATATAGTGTAAAACAAGAGTAACATCTTGAATCAATAACTTCCAATTATTTTTTAGAAATTTTTATAAACAGTTTGTAACTTTGTGGTTCAATTGTTTGTGGTTTTTTCAATTAGATTTTTGCACTATGGAATTTTGAGTTTCAAGTTGTATGTGTAATTTGTAATCTTCTTCTTAAACCTTCATTCATCATCTAAATGTTTCTTTGTTCAATTTTTTTTAGGCACCTTTGAGTGAGCTTAATCTTGACCAGCCCTTGTACGTGGGAGGATTTAAAAGTTTGTCTACAGTTAGTAGACATTCAGGAATCGTCACAAGACTTATTGGTGCTATACAGAGAATTATGGTGAATGGAGAGCTATGGGATAACCTAATGGAGAAAGCAGTAGATTTTCGTGGTGTGGTTCCATATTTGGGGCCGCCGTGTTTGGAAAATGTGTGTAAGAATGGTGGGGTTTGTGTTCCTCATCTGAACGAGTTCGCTTGCCGCTGCCCCTTGACGTTCATTGGCCTCAGGTGTGAACAGAGTAAGTACAAAAGGATTACGGATATATGAAGGGGTGGAGGGGGGTACACAGAGAATTACTCTCTATGATTAGCTATTGAGGGGAGTTATGTCATCAGTTTGGCCATATTCACCTGCTTTGTTCCGAAACAAGAAATTAAAAAAAAAGGTTTCCTATCACAAGACTAAATGTTTCATAAGACACTGTTCCATAGATACTGATATGAAGACCATTGGAGCATCTGATAACCTGATGTCAGATGTATAATGGCATGTACCTTGAAAGACACAGATTTTTATGTCCCGTGGCCATACTTGTGGCACAGCGATTTATGGTCAAGATTCATCATTTTCATCAAAGGAACCCTAAAATCGTGAGAGCTCTGTGACATCATTTGACACAACAGTTTTTCTGTTTTTGGATAGTTTAACCAAGTCCTAATATTCTGATAGCTTTGTGACTAGCCAAGTTTGTGTTAGGCATTACAGCTTAAGCAAGTGATCCACTCTATCCCAGGGTTGGGGCACAGTGGATCCCTTTGTTTGTTTTTTTCTTATACGAATACAAAGACTAATTATTGGCAGAGTTCATAACAAAATAAAGGATACAGTTATGACTTTATCATTTCTATTTGGAAAATAACATCTAATCAAAAACACCTTAGGTGTGAAAAAGGTGCGGATTGAGAGTGTGGCTTAAAGGAATGAAATCAAAATTGGTGGCCAAACTGGTAGCTACACGTATAGCATTGATAATAATGTTCATTCATTAGTTAGCCAGGCTGCGTTTTTTTGCTCAACTTGGGGCATGATGGTGGGTAAAACAATGATGCAGCCAAAACAACCTGCTGCAGGACACACTGTGTGTTATTAACAGGAATGATAGTTTATCAATATTCCACCTTTTGAAGCTCAGACTGTTGTAATCCAAATTTTCAAATATTTTCAGTGGATGTGCTATACTGGAGTCTTACTTCACATACCATATTATAAGGCAATCCATTAAGAAATACATAAGATATATCATCTTCAATTTTGAATGAGTTTCTTCCTATTCTTTGTTCGTCGCACCAAAAGTACAGAACTTTATTTGATAGAAAAACGTACTTTTATGGATTTGTTTTCATATTTGGTACACTGATAGATCTTTACAACCTACAATTTGGTGTTTCATTTGGTATATATATATGAGCAACATGTGCAAAGTTAGTAAACAAAAACTGCTCAAATTTGACGAATATTTTTGTAAAAAATCACTAGAGCTATCTGTCTAACATTTTTACTACAGCTTTACTTAAGAATAAAATTGGACAATTTTTAGTTTTTTCATTCAGATTAAAGATGGCTGATTTAGAGCAGCAAAACTATATGAAAAGATGTGC